CTACAATCTTCAAACATTTAAATGCAACATCAATCGCCATCTTCTGTCTTCTTGAATCCCGTTCATCTTTTGTTCTTTCCACAATCATTCCTAAATTGGTTTGGTTTGTTTTACAGCATATCAACCTCAATTAGTTATTTAATGCCGACAAGATTTTTATTACTGCTAATAATTTTTCCTCAAAAAAATTATTGCTGGTATTAAAAGGTATTTTTACATTTTCATGGTGTTTTGATCCCAGTTTAGGGGTTAACTATTTGCCCATAGCTGGGACTCTAACAAGTGCTACCACACCGGGTCAAGATGGACCTGGTAACACCGGCAATTAAGTTCCACGCTCCTCAAAACCTCCTGATCAGAGGCCTTGCTGTTGGACATAGTGTATCCTCTTAACCTGGACACAGATATAGTTTATCGTCATACCTACCTAAGACGGGGCAATCATTCCTGTTCTTAGATTTCCCTTTCACTTTCATTCCATATAACCCCTTGCGTACTAGTGGCATTCCCACTTTGTTTGGTGTGAAATTATTTAAAAAAGTAGATTATGCTTTGTTTTTCTCTGTTCCTCTCGCTATCAATTGTTCATAGTTCTCCAACCAGACGTGAGGATAAATATTTGAACCTTTTTAAAAAACTTACCCTCATCGATAATTATATATATATATATATATATATATATATATATATATATATATATATATATATATATATATAAGCTTTTCACCCAAGCACGCAAGGAGATATAGAGAGGGGGAGCAAGAGTAAAGAGGCGTGATAGAGGAAAGGATGAAGAGAAGGACGAGGAATAGATCAAGGCATCTGGAGATGTCGATTGACATCGCATTTGAATATTTGGAGATTATAGCTATCAGGGAAGCAAGTAAGAAGAAGGGAGTTCCACAGACGGGGCAGTGCGAGACATGAAGCTATTGGGGTAGAAGGGACGGCTATTTTTAACTGTTTCGACAGTGAACGGGTGGGACTGAGATGTCGACCTGGTGGCACGCTTAAATTCATGCAGTTTGGGAACTAGCGAAAGTAGCTCGTCGGAGCAGTTACCGTGAAAGTATTTGTAGAAAAGACAGAGGGAGGCGACGGCACATCTGTGAGAGAGCGACTGGAGGTGAGATGCCAGATCAGGTTCTATCATATTTCATATCCGTCATAATTATGTATATCTTCTATCTTTTGGTCGTCTGTACCTATCTCGACAGTACCACCATATTGCAAGAAGGGACTAAGAGAACCTAGAAAGATCCATGAAAATTTCATGGTTTTCCTATTTTCTTTTTCTGATTAATCTTAATTCTTAAGTTAATCATTGAATAAGCCCATGGCAAGTTCTACGACAATAAAATATACATAGAAATTCTCTCCTATCGCATCGTTAAATATTTTGAGCTTAATCACTGTAACAAAATATTTTAATAACAACCATTACAAATGAAAAGATTTGAAACTGACTATTTTTCCATTTCACTTAAACGTTTAAAGTGCTCAAATTCAATTTCTATCTATCTTTCTTCCATTTTTTTACTGAAACCAAGTAGTGTTTCTGATATGCCTTTTCCGTCTTTCCACCCGATCAAAACGGAATAGTCCATTATTTATTAGGCATTAGCAGGGTGGAACGTACGTACGTGCGTACGAGCTAACTAAGGAACTAAGGGAGAGACAAACAGAACTATAAAAATATACGATGATATTTCCGACATATGCAATGGAGACAGGGAATATTGGACATCTACACACTTAAAACGGCCTTCTCTCTTATTGTGCAGGCATCGGTATATCTATTGTGGCGTGGAGCAGTTGATTTACCCACGCCAAGACAATTAATGAACTGATGACAATGATGAGGAAACACAGGTAATTTTAACAAAACAAGGAATTTATCTACGAATTTACACGCTTGAAGTTGTGCTAGTAGTTTGTTTCAAGAAAATAAATCAGTCCGTATTTTTAACGAATTGTCATGAGGAGGAAATGTTCATGCAACAGATTAAATGATCTGACACAAAATATTAAAAAATGTTTAAAACAAAAGTTGCTCACCGAAGAGATATATGGTCTCATACATTCAAAAGTAGACGAAGAGATATTATTTGAAATAGCTTTCTTAGATTGTTGAGAGTAAATTCTTTGAAGTGTCGTGTGCTGATTAAAGGTAGAGGATATAATTAACGAGTAATTTTACTCTGGCAAGTACTTCAACGCTCGTCACGAGGAACTGAAACAAAACCATTCACATAACAGAAACTTTTCTCTTATTAATTTAATTTTTCTCCTTGTTTTATGTCAAAAAGAATTTCGCATAGGCTCGCTACTTTCTTTTTTTTTTCTTCTTGGCTCAACGGCTAATTTCTATGTTGACAAGGTTTTCATTGGTCCAAAACAATAGGCTCGCGATTTTGTTTCCGTTTTCTTCTCAGCTCGCCGGTCAATCTCTGTGAAGACAGGGTTTTCATTGGTTCAGATAAAATTTCACATAAGCTCTCGAATTTATTTCTGTCTTTTTCCTTGTTCCTCCGAATTTGAAGAAAGTGGTTAAAGGAGCTATTATTATTTCGCACTCACTACATGTAAAATAAATACTCTTAATAGCAGCTTTTTCATAAGTAATATTTAAATAAATTTAATTTTGATTTGTTTTTACATCCTTTCTGATAAAACCTAATTAAATTCTGGACACCCTAATAAAAAAAGGCAATTAGTTACAAGTTTTGTAATTCAGCTAGTTAGTTATTGCCATGCGTGATACACGCTTAGGCGATCATGTATCTTTCAATACATGAATGACGAGGCATATTTTCCCACTGTAGGTTACCATTTCTTTCTACGGTAGACCAGTTGCTATCCAAGACCATAGAACATACTATTTACACATAGCTGATGGGAGAAGAAAAGGATTCATACCTTTCCCAATGGTATTAGCACGTAAGTGAATGTGATGGATTCGACTGGAATTCGAACTCGGCTCTCCGTTAGCCTTAATCCGAGCCGCTATCCATTACGCCACTGTACGGTTTTGTGTGCCTAAATATTTTGCCAAATTACAGTTTCGTAAGACGATAAATATGCCATCTCTGTATAAATTGGAGTATTATACGTCCCATATTTGGATGACCGAAGGGTCGCTGTGCAGCTAAGTATTTGTCCAGTCCTCTCCACATATCAAAGTTGAAAATCAGAGAGGTGTTCATCCATGCCGAGCATGTGTTGGCCAGTTAGACATGATGAAGCTAAGATTAACCGCAACAGGTTAGGTGCCTGGAAGGACGTCGATCTTCCGGGGCCCTTTGGTTGGATGGTGAGGCGTGTGCCACTTACGACTTTCCTCTTGTCCTTTGTCGCTTGTCTGTACTACCTCTCTGTAAGGGGCATAAGAAGGCACTCAAGCGATTGCTATCCTCCATTTTATGGAGGGGACGCAAGCATAAAGTCGACAGAGAAGTCACAAGCTACCTCGAGGTTGGCTTTCCTATGCCGCGCAGTGTCAGGAGATTCGATTATTGTGGGTGGGGGATTGTGAGGGACGCCTTCCCTTGTCCTACCCTCAGTCCTCCCATCTCGCGCGTTGAGCGCCGTCGTAGACCCCGGGATCAATTGGATCTCCTTCGCGAGTGTCGATCGGCCTTGAAAATCATTCCTCGGTCCAGTGACCTTTCTCGGCATAGGAGAATCTTTCTATTGGGAATTAGTGGAGGGGGACGCGAAGGATCTCCTACGTGAGCAACTCGGCTGTGTCGAAGGAGGAGTTTCGCTCCTTCTGGTTTTGGGCGCTAGCGACGGATTATCTCAGCAAACCTGAGTTTTCGCTAACCTAGCGACTGATTCGGAATAGGCTATCTCTCAATGACATGGCCTTCATATGGGGTTTGGCGGATTTGCCAGAATGTGAACGATGTGACCTTGGAACAGAAGAAACGGCTTCGCACGCCTTCTACCACTGTCCTCGGGTCCGCCCGCTATGGGACCACGTCGGCGAGCTGACGTCTCGCTCCCAAAAATCTCGTGCCCATTGATCGTGCATACGAGCGTGACAATTTGTCGCCCCTGTTGGGTGAAACGAATGGTGTTTCTATCACTGCTGGGCACGGCTCGAATGGTGATTTGGACGATGCGAGACAATCGTCTTACTCATCAGGATCTTATCCGATTCTTTGAGCATCAGCTCAAGATGAAGATTAGAACTGATACAAAGAACTTGGTTTCGACAGACTTTAGCGAAAGGTGGGTGACTGAGGCGAGCTGGTTTGTGTGAACAGGCTAGCCTTGAATTTCCTTTTTAGGTCTACCTAATTCCCATCGGGGTGGTTTCCTGTGGAGCCCCCTCCTGGTCAGGCTAGACAAGCTTTGTGTACCTAGTTAATGAGAGTAAGTGTTGTTCCCGGCCTGCTCTCGGCTACATCTTTGGTTATGATCCAAGTTGAGATTCCCAACCTCCCCAGTTTGTTTGTTTTTTACCTCCTTTCATCTCGACTGGGTCAGCTTTATTTATTTTCCAAGTCCATATATATTTTCTTCTTTCCCTACACCCTTAGCGAGAGAGCCTCTTGATTCTGTCGCAGGGCAGAATACAGCGGCCTCTCTTTTTTGAGGGATAGAGGGGTCCAACTAAGATCAGTTCTCTTTAATTTGTTTGTTTTAATATTATATTTTGATTTTTTTTTTGGGGGGGGGGTTCATCCCCTCCCCTCTTATGTTATATCATGTACAAATAAATATGTATAGCATTTTATAAACATGAAATAAAATTTTTATTTCATGGGGTGCGTTTTTAAGTTCCTCCCGAGAATATGCGGTATTATCGTATATGGAGGATTGATTGACGATGGATGAGTTTTTTTGTGGTGAATGGGTCAATTGTAATAAATGAATGAGTCGTGAACTGGATTTGCTAGGTATAAGATAGTAAGTGACAACAGGCCTGAATCCCTTTCCCTCTTCTTTCGGCCTTGTGTCACAATTGTGTCTTTTACGCAATAAATCTTAACATGATTGGAACCAATGGTGGGCGGGATAGATAGATAGATAGATAGATAGATAGATAGATAGATAGATAGATCCATTTAAAGGGAAATATATTGAATCAAAAAAATTGATTTCGTTATTGTTTTGAAATATTTGGCTTTAGAAAGGTGGTATGTAAATGCATAAACTGTTAGAGAAATTAGGCCGCCACGTAGAAAGTGATATTAACAATTTAGAATAATTTTAGATTCGACGAAGGATTTTTACGTCATCAAACGAACAAAAGAAACCTCGTTGAAATTGTTGGAGAGTTTAAAAGTTATCTATTGAATTCAACATTGGTAGAAATGGGTGACGTAAATAAAGAGACAAAAAGAGAACAGTGGATTGATTGTGAAGTGATTATTTTAACTTAACAAGAAACAAAAGCATTGGGGCAATGACCTTAATGGCAGAATTGAGTAGAATTATTATATAAGTGACTGTCAAAAACAGATAGACGATGATATCAAAGATACGTGCCAGTTTTGTTTAGTTTCTTGTATAAACATCTTTTTCATTGTATATAAACATTGGGCTTTGATTTTTTCCCCATCCCTCGATAATTGAAAAATAAACTTCGTGCTAGGGATTTCATAGAGAAAATGAGGTATTTTGGTGACCGTGGTGTGACAGAGTAAATGCGTTGTTATTGTGGAAGGAAAATTGTAAGTACGAATGGCTAAATAAGTGAGACTAGCTAGTTTTCAAGACCAATCTTTTCATCACTTTTTAGCCCTTGTAACACATTTTGTATTTCCTCTTACAAATAAATATTAAGATACTTGCCAGTACCTTCAACACTGTGTGAACCTTGTTCCGAATAGGAAAATATTGCACTCCGAAAATATATGAAAATAGACGAAGAATTAATGTCTTAAGCGTTGTTAAATACAGACCCAAACAGGTGGAACTTGGCAAATCGATATATATATATATATATATATATATATATATATATATATATATATATATATATTGATGCAGACAAACTCGAAGTTAGTAAATAGTGCTCAATACAAAGTAGAGCGTGTATAAAAATGTAAAATATGAAAATAATATTATTTACATTATTCGGACTATTGTCCTCATCTTTGTCGCCATATTTATTACAACGTTTCGGCCGTTGTACTCACCGACCTTCTTCCGGTGGTTGGAATATCGAACTAAACTCTTTATTTCGCTCACTGGGGTAGACTGTTCTAGTTCCACGTGCCGTGTTTAATGGATGTCAGTTATCAGTTATCTCCTGTTAATTCCCCTCTCCAAGTTCTCCACTGCCTTAACCAGGTATTGAACTCACATGGCATATCTCTTCCGGTTTCTTGCATCCTTGTCACTTACAATCTTCAAAAATTTGAATGCAACGTCAAACGCAATCTTCTGTCTTACTGTTCATTTATTGTCCTTTCTTCCCACTAAAGTCTTCTCATTACCTTTTGCTCCCAGTAACATGTTGCGTCTTAGTGGGGTTATCGCCTAGCTTGGGGTAAAATAATTAAAGAGAATACTTTGGTTATTCGTTTTCTCCGTATGAACAGGCATGATCAAACCAAGTTTTATTATATATATATATATATATATATATATATATATATATATACTATAATAATAATTTTATTGAAAAATATTTTATTATCGCGATGTTGGGTAACTTTTGCTGAAAATGAAAAATCATTTTCCTCAAAAGTTACCCAACATCGCTTGATAATGGAACAGATTTAAGTCCCGAAACATAGAAATTTCGGTGTCGCGATGTAAAATATTTTTTTTAAATAAAAATATTATAATATTATGCTCTACGTTGTATCGAGCACTTTTAAAAAATATATAAATGGTAAATAACTGTGGATTCTAAAACTGACTGTCTTCTTTATATTTGGACACACACATACACACACACACACACACACACACACACACATATATATATATATATATATATATATATATATATAGTGTATGGGGGCAGCAGACCATTGTTTAAACGTATATTGTTAACTATAATACAACGAATGTCTGTTATGTTTTATCATGAGCCTTCCCAAACGTCGTGTAATGGCTTTAGTTTCAAGATAAAATTAAGACAAAAACTGTCCAATATTTGGATATTTCTTTATGTTCGTTGTTATAAGCTTTTGGCTCACATGACCCATCATCAGAAGTGGTTATATGGACGTTATAATAGAGATGTTCACCGTCAAAGATGACATCCTGTTTTTTGTTTCCATAGAAGTTTGCTATGCGACGATAACGGTTACGGAATAGCAGACTTAGTTCGTAAATTCGTAATGCGGTTCTATGACGTCATCGTATATGATCACGTGAGAGAAAGAAATGATTTAGACTAGATCCCATTTATGCCCCATTTTTCTAATTAATATATGACACATTTAGAAAATAAAATACTTAATGACACTAATAACCCCCCCCCTATATATGTAAGACACATAAATCACATTTTCATTTTAGTTAAATATATTGATCAAATAAAACAAAAATAATTTTGAAAGTCACTTCGTCCTCAAATTTACTCTAGAACTTAATAATAAAATTCTATTACTTGATGTATTTATTGATTCCAGTCCACATAAATTTGCTACTTTTCTATAGGAGAAAACCCACTAGCATTAACTCGTGTCTTCTTAATTATAATAGTGAATGCCCCGCTAACGATAAAAGTTAGCTGTTATAAAAAAAACTTAATCCAACGCACACAAATGATATCTTCTTCCAAAACCATATTCTATAAAGAATTAGATAACATCAAAAAACACTCATTAATAATGGATTCCCTCATTGATCACCAAATTAAAATGCATCTCAATAAACCTAATAATACTACTAACAAAATAGATAATATTAATAATAATTGTAACCACAATAGTGTACGTCAGAATAAGCATAATACTGTTCACTTGTACTATTGTAATCAAATGCATAATAATTACAAACAGGATGAAACAAAACTCAAAAATATAATAGGTAGAAATGTTAAACCCATAACGAATTAAGCTCATCATATATTATAAAAAATTTAAAACAATTAACCTCATAGTCTCCAATAACCCTACAATCACACAACTAAATCCTCTACAAAAAACCAATGTAGTGTATCAATTTACTTGCCCGTTCAGAGATTGTATCTCTGATACTAATAATAGACCACACTACATACTCTTGGTCTTAGATACGTCGACAGTTGATAATGACCGGAGCAAGTTCAGTGGTGCCAAAGGTTGATAGAGAGTTGGTGTATTGGGGTGGTACTAGCTGGCAGATGTATCCCAGGGCAGACGGTTGCTGCTAACCAGAACATGAAGACGAAACCACTTGGGAGGTGTCGAAGGATGATAGGCAGTCAGCGAATCGGTGTGGTGAGCTGGTACTAGCAGGCAATCTTAGCCGAGAGCAGGTGGTTGAAACTACCGTGATCCGCGAGAAGATGAGCAGCAGGGAGTGAAATTGGTAGAAGACGTGGTTGGCGGGAGTCAGTTGGTCGCTGGTTGCTGATGATCTTTGGTGGACGCTGATGATTCGATGCTGATCGCTGGTGGCTGCTGGTGGTCGCTGCTCCGGCCTACTATCCCATCATCTTTTCTCCCGTCCCAGTATTTACATTTGAGTAACCACTGAGTCAGGATGTAAAAAAGGTCAGTTTGTTTTAACGTGGGGAACCCTAGTGTCTCCACTCGGGCCACTGGCTAATTTCTGGTCTTAGCTAGTCATAGACAGTCAAAAACAACGCTACTGAATTCTGTCCAAGCTGCAAAGAGAGAACGGCCCGGCTTAGAACAGATACTACAACAGCATCTCTTCTGAGGCGGGGTGCCTTCCCAATATTTACCTTTGACTCACTACTGAGTCAAGATGCCACACAAGGTCAATTTGTTTTAATATGGGGAGCCAGAGTGCCTCCACTGAGGCTACTGGTCACTTCTGGTCTTTGCTAGTGATAGCTAGTCAAAAACCCACACTACGCAATGGATTCAAGGATTCGGTTCAATTATCGGGGAAGTGGGGGTCCGGTATGGAACAGATATTGCAGCAGCATCTCCTCCGCCCCAGGCCTTCCAGTATTTACCTTACCCTACCCTACCCCCACCGAGTCAGGATGAGACACAAGGTCAGTTTCTTTTAATGTGGGAAACACACATATAACAACATTTCACTGTTTCTCATATACGTACACATACAATTTATGTTATATTCCAAAACTTTATTAACAAAAACAAAAAGACATTACTTTTTAATCTATAATCAACTTCTTGTACTCTTGTTGTTATATTAATGTTTATTTGTTGATACTGTGTTTTCTTTTTCTACTGGATTTTATTATTTCAATGAGAATTGTGGGATTATTCTAAATAGCTGAATTACAAGCAGTCCCATTATTAACCTTTGACTCCCTACTGAGTCAGGATGCGACACAATGTCAGTTTGTTTTAATATGGGGGCCTCGAGTGTCTCCACTGAGGCTCCTGGTCATTTATGGTCTTAGCTAGTCAGAGCTTGTCTTTTGTCCAAGCAGCGATAGGCGGACCCGGCACGAAACAAATACTACAACAGCATCTCCCCGCCCCTGACTTTTGGATAAGCAGCGTAAAATGTCAACGAAACGATGTAGAGAATTACTAGAGTTTAAATTGAAAGAGTCAATCTGCTGAAACGAAAATAAAATGTCGCTATGATATATATATATATATATATATATATATATATATATATATATATATATATATATATATATATATAAAGCATTTCACGCGCCAAGCAAGGCGGGAGTGTCACTAGTACGCAAGAGGTTACAGAGTGTGGATGCAAGAGTAAAGAGGCGAGATAGAGGAAAAGGGGAAGAGAAGATGAATTAGATCAAAGTATCGATTGACATTGCATTTGAATAATTGAAGATTATAGCTATCAGGGAAGCAAGTAAGAAGAAAGAAGTCCCACAGACGGGAAGTGCGAGACATGAAGTAGAAGAGACGGCTACATTTAATAGTTTCGACAGTGAAAGGGTGGGACTGGGATGCCAACCTTGTAGCACGTTTAAATTCATGCATTTTAGGAACCAGCGAAAGTAGCTCGTTGGAGCAGTTACCGTGGGAAGTATTTGTAGAAAAGACAGAGAGAAGCACGTCTGTGAGAGAGCGACTGTAGACGAGATGCCAGATCAGGACCAATCACATTGCATATCCGTCTCTGGATTTTGTTGAGGACCTTGAAACGAACAGCGGGTGCTCCAGACCATATATGTCAGCAGGATTCCATGCAAGGGTGAATGGTTGAATTATAGATTTGAAGGATGGACTCAGGCGAGAAAAATTTTCTAGCGTGACACAGAGAATCGACTTTTCCTTGAAAAGATGAAGTTATTGATTCAATGTATTTGTTCCCCGTCATATCAGTGGATAGCGTGAGACCAAGCAGGTGCGACGAGGCGCTCTCGAAGAGTTGGGCATCAGCCTTTCTTATGGGAGTCAGGGAGAATTCTCTGTGGTGAGTAAAGGAGAGCAGTTTCGTTTTGGAAGCATTAAAGTTTACAAGCCATTTCCTTCCCTAGTTAACCACAGGTTCTTTTCGAGATCAGCAGCCAGGTTAGTTTTGTCAGCGATACCAGATTTGCTATTGAAGTTGGAGTTAATAGTGATGTCGTCTGTATAGATACCTACTTAGGAACTGATGATATAAGGAAGATCGTTAATGAAGATCAAAAACAGTGTAGGACCCAATATAGAGCCTTGGGAAACACCAACGTTCGTGAGAAAGGAACTGGAGGAGAATCCGTTAAGGCCGACCTTCATTACACGGTTTGACAGTAATGATTGTATTAAGTCAAATAACCGTCCTGAAATTCCGTATCCCTGAAGCTTACGAAAGAGGCCGGCATGCCAAATACTATCAAACGCTTTAGAAATATCTAGAGCCACAGCTCTAGCTTCTCCGTTATTGTGAAGTGCTTGGTAAAGTTATGGCTGTGAGCACATCAGCGGTAGATCGGGCAAAGCGGAAACCATATTGCTCATCAGAGAGCAGATCATGGGATGTAAGGTGCTTAACCTCTTCGACGTTGATTAAAGCTTCGAAGACTTTGCTGAAGAGTTGTAGGAGACTGATAGGACGGTAGTTATATGGGTCAGAAGAGTCTCCAGAGTTCTTAAAGACAGGTACAAAAAATGAGGACTTCCAACAGGCTGGCAGACAAGATTCGTTGAGGCAGTAGTTATATAGTTTGGAGAGGACAGGAGCCAGTTCAGGGTCACATTTCTTTAGGACAACAGTTGGTATCCCGTCCCCACCGCTAGCCTTATGGGAGTCTAATTTAGTGACGATGCCCAATACCATCGATGGGGTTATGTGCAAGTCCCTTAGTAGAGCCTCAGTTCTAGGGGGAAAATCGGGTGTGGGTACACCGGATGAGTCGAACGTTGAGTTGGATGATAATTTCCGAGCAAAGCATTCAGCCTTATAAGCTGAGGATGTCAGGACCTCAAATTGATTGAATAAAGAAGGTATTGTGGATTTGCTGTTGCTTAGTACGCTCTTGCAGAGACGCCAATAATCTTTGGAACCGAATTTGCGAGATGCAATACGTTGTTTCATTCTTTTAGCAAATAGTGACTTTGCTTCATTGAGAACACGATTGCACTCATTAAGGGCTGAAATAAAGATATATATATATATATATTAAGAAATGGACAAGGTCCGACAATTTATTTATTAAAGACATTTTTTATGTTTAACGTTGTTATTTTATAGATACAAGTATTTAAGCAAATGCTCTGTTTATGATAAACAGTATTAAATAACATTTACCGGCCTGAATGTCCGAGAAATTTTCATAGAAAATATTCGTTCTTAGACAGGATTCGAACCTGCATCCTATACGGAACCGTCATTTACGCTGACGTGCCTTACCTCTGGGCCACAAAGAACCTTTTCGGTAGACAAGGTCGAATTTACTGCTTATAAACTTCAATCTTCCATGAATGAATTCATAACTCGGCGTACATTCATAACTCCGACAATTTATTTATTAAAGACATTTTTTATGTTTAACGTGTTATTTATAGATACGTATTTAAGCAAATGTCTGTTTAAAAACAGTATTAAATAACAAATGAAAATATTCGTTCATTGACAGGATTCAAATCCTGTCAAACCGAACGAATATTTTCTATTTGAAAATTTCTATGACATTCAGGCCGGTAAATGTTATTTAATACTGTTTATAAAACAGAGCATTTGCTTAAATACTTGTATCTAGTTAAATTGTCGACCTTGTCTACCGAAAAGGTTCTTTTTATACAGAAATTGACCAGAGGTAAGGCATTAAAAACATCCGAGTAGGCCGAAAAAATCGTCCAGTGACGTAATTTCTAGTCCAAGAAAAAAACACTTTTATGCTGATTTTAGCTTTTAGTGGTCGTTTTTATCAATAAATAGTGATTTTCCAAGCGCAGCTTAGATGTGGCACAAGGCCGAAAGTATGGGGCACCCAGTGAGGATCGAACTCACTACACAGTCGTAATTGTTCTAGCGAGACAAGCTTGCTAACCATTACACCGCCTTGAGATGCCCTAATAATGATTTTCCAAGCGCAGCTTAGATGTGGTACAAGGCCGAAAGTATGGGGCACCCAGTGAGGATCGAACTCACTACTCAGTCGTAATTGTTCTAGCGTGACAAGCTTGCTAACCATTACACCGCCGCGATATCAATAAATATGTTCCTTTGTCAGATCCTCTTGAGCCAGCTTACTCTGAAGATCCATTTAGGTGAAACCCAGGTAGATAGTCCCCGGCTCACTAGGATTTTATATCTATCTATCTATCTATCTTATATATATATATATATATATATATATATATATATTTATATATATATATATATATATTGTATGTGTGTGTGTGTGTGTTTGTGTACATGTATGTATTGATGTGCATCTGCTTCTCTTATACTCTCTCATAACCAGGTTGGATTACAAGAGAATAAAATAAATCTTCAGTATAGTAGCGATGTTGTGTCGTTCCTCTGAGAAAGGTTACACGTACAGTCTCGTCCCTCCACTCACCTGTATATAGTAACAGTACGACGAAGTTATAAAATCCTAACAGCAACGCCTTCCACTCTGCCCTACTTTTCACGGTCCCAAAACATGACATCGAGAATTATCCACGTTTTTCACTCACCGTAGGTATCCCAAACTATATAATTAGTTTAGGAGTCACAACACTGTGGCAGATGTCCGGAGATTAATTTTGTTTGGATGACACACGGCAATAAGTATAGGGAGCCTAGAGAGGATCAAATTCAGTACTATCTATGGTAGCTAGAGATTACTGACACAAGGCCATAACACGGGCAGATTCAGTGAAGATCAAATTTACTCGTGACTGGTGTGTAGAGGTAGCCTACTAATCCTCACACCGTGATAGACATCTAGAGATTTATTTAGCTTAGTTTGACACAAGGCTACCAACGTGGAGACCCTAGACGGAATCTGACTCACAATTGATTGGTCTGTGAATCTAGCCAACTAACTCTCAATAGCAGTTAGGCAGATATTTCTTTATCTAGTCTGACATAAGGTTAAAAAACTAGGGCATTCCATGAGTATTAAATTCCCTGGTAGTGGTCATAACAGAATAAGAAAGAGAAAAAAATTCGATATAGGAATCAACACTGCATGGTGACTGTCACTTTCATGCCACAATGTGATCTTCATACCAATTTCAAATTGAGGCTTGAAACTGACAGGCACTATGAAGTGTTGATTTCTATAAACTCTCTCTCCTCTCTCTCTCTCTCTATATATATATATATATATATATATATATATATCAAATTGTGCACTTCGACGTGGTTAGTAAGCTTGTCTTATGACTAAGTAGTGAGTGCAATCCTTATTGGGAGCTCTATACTTTCAGCTTTGTGCCGCATCTAAGCTTAACTAACAATTTGTATACAATATATATATATATATATATATATATATATATATATATATATTGTTTCAAATGTGCTCAGAAAGAGACGATTTAAATTTCTAGAGAACGTAATGAGGAAAGAAGGTTTGGAAAATTTAACACTCACATGACATGTTAAAGGCAAGAGAGAGGAAAACAGAGAATAAGCTACTTGACGAGCTTGTGTAAATGGTTGGCAGAACAGGGATTAGGAGAAATGGCAAAAAGTCAAACTCTGCTAAGGGCTACAATGGACAGGAAGTTATGGAGAGTTCTGATCCGGGAGACCCACGACACATAGAAGACTTGACCGGACCGTGAAAATACCGCACTAGGATATATGCTATGGAAGATGATATGGCTGACCATCTCGATAATGTTGGTCTTGAAATGTACCACAGTACAAACTATAATTCGTTTTCTTAGCATTCTGCTTACCATTTGAAGTTTTCGTATCTGTATTCTTTCTATTGAGACGTATCATTATTGCAGAAGGCCTAATAATGGTAAGTGGTTCTAGAATATTGTGTTACACCATTCTTCTAGGTCAGGAAATGTGTCTGTCTTGAAGTTTATTATTCGAAATTTAAGCATCTACTTTTTATTCTGGCAGTCGTCTTTACCGCCAATGGGAAATAAATTCAATCACTAGGCTTGACATTTTAATGTGTTGATTAACTTTAAAACTGTGTTTTGTTAGTAACGCATCATGAATGAAAGAGGCTTACGGACATATCATGTTAACATATCGGTTCCCGTATGATCACCGAAATTAAGTAACGTTGAGCCTGGTCAATACCTAGATGAGTGACTGCTTGGGAACACCAGGTGTTATAAGCTTGGGTGTGTGGCTGGTGTAAAGGATTAAGACTTGGAATTGTTAATCGGATATGCGAGTTCCAATTCCATTTGGTTTCGTTATATTCACTTACGCGCAAATATCCTTGGGAAAGGTATGAATCGACATCTTCTCCCCCAGCTATGGGTTAATTATTAAGACCTGTATCCCTAAATCATTATTATCACAAAAAAAATTCTTACAGTCTGAAAATATTTTCTGGCTTTAAATAACTTGCAATGGGTTGATAAGCCGTAGAAAACAAACCATTATGAACCAAAGAACATTAATTAATATGTTCACTATTTTAACTGGTAAGCACAAGACAAATTTAATTAATTACCGTCCCTTTTTCTGAAAAGTACACTTTGTCTTCATTTTATTCTCTGCATACTAATGTGACTAATGTCTGTTTTCCAGCTGTACTATTTAGTCTTTTGTGAATCTCAGTGTCCTCTTCTTGGTCTGTACACCTCACAAAAAAGTTTTACTAAAAAATCGAGTTATGAAGGTGAAAGTCGATAAAAGACTAAATAAATATCGGCCTTTTATTTAGACGAGGGTTCCCCAAAGTCGTCCATATCGTCCCTTGTGAGTCGAGAAAATTAACCAAGGGGTCAAGAAATGACTGGGATGGAGTTGGGGGGTTAAAAATGGGAGCGATAATTAAATCGTGCTGATTTACGGTTGAAGCTCACTAATTTCTAACCAAATTTCAATAATCCTATTACTAATCATGAAACACCTATTTCTCATTAATGATATCAACCAATTCGATAAAAAAAAGCATTTTTTTAAATGTGACTTTTCTTGTTATTATTATTAATCAGTTCATCCCAAGCAAGGCGACAATGGCACTAACATGCAAGTGGCTACTAGGAATGAAAGAGAACAAAAAAAAAAAATTAGGATGAACCGGAAACTCAATCCTAAACAGGGAACAAAGAATAAACTTCTAGACTTGTTAAAAAAAACCGTGGAGGAGTGTATTATTATTATTATTGTTTGTGATATCATCTTACCTGAGAGTAATTTTAAGTACCTTATTACCAAGCCACGTCCGAGGTCTATGAGGGGACTGTAGGAGAGTTATCTATGCTCATTTGGGACGTTTCGTCGAGATAGAGAGGCTTTTACAGATGATATGTGCAGTTCTGCACAAAGTAATCTTTTATAGCTCTGAGATACTGACGTCTCCAGGAATTTTACTCACATAATTTTCGGTACCCTTCTTTATCATACCTAATGCCCCTATCACAACAGAGATAAATTATTATTATTATTATTATTATTATTATTATTATTATTATTATTATTGGTTTCTGTTGTATACATATTTCTTTCCGGGTCCCGACCAAAGACCTAAGATCAGAAATGGCATCATGATATTTCCACTGAATAATTTTGAAAAAAAAATCACACATATTTTATATAGATAAAGACCTTCGTAAGGTGTGGGCTGTAATTATGAGCACTATTTTTTGTATTTCTTTAAGGCATGGGCTGAGTCTATTGGAATATTTTTCAATCAATCTGATGGCTCCAGCTACAATTGTAATTGTTAATGTCTTCATGCGCCATATTTTTGAGATTTCGATTTCAACTTCCTTGTATGTTGATATTTTTTTGAAAATCTTCAAAGATACATTGCAGTCTGCAGGGGCTGCCATGTCAATAAGGAGGCACATTTTATCTTTGCGGGTCTCTAATCACGATGTTAGCTTTGATTGTTCTGTCTGTGTGCATTATAAAGTTATTATTATTATTATTCGAACAAACACTTCGATGAAAGAAACAGAAATTGAAAAATGAATAACGAAACATAAAGCTAAAATGAATTTTATCGAAAAGCAATAACAAAGGAGAAAGGCAAAGGAATTTCAAACCTTAAATAAAATATATTTTTCAGTATATATATATATATATATATATATATATATATATATATATATATATATATATATATATATATATATACGAGTGTAATAGCAAAATTGTTCAGATCGTGTTACTGCATAATTGTCCATCCCACAAAATGTTTAATATCTAAAAAAGAAACCACTAAACTAATTGAGTTTCTTTTTTCCATCTTGATACCATTTGTCGTAAGAATCACTGAAAAATCTTTTAGGTTATTCAGCTAGAAAGAGAACAGATTAAAATCGTTTTGTACCAGCCCCACTGTCTTCTCAATTGAGCTGTGGTGGGAGGAAAAATCATTCAGGCCTTCAGTAATGGTACCAATATTCAAAATTTGGCTTCGATCTTTAAAAGCCATTCAAGAACCATCAAGAGAATGGTGAATAAGTTTTAAAAAGAGGGAGCAGTAGAAAGGAAATTTAGATCAGGAGTTACAACAGGAAGAAGGGATCATAATTTCAACTTAGACCTAAAGCGATCAATTAGAAAAGGTTCAACTCAATCCATAAGACGTTTGGCACACGAGAGAGAAGTTTCGGCTATGACAGTCCAAAGAGTAGTGAAAAGAGACTTGAAAATGAAATAGTATGTGAAACGTGTGAGTTACCTTCTTAGTCCAGGGCAGAAAGTTAGGAGGTTAGAGTGGGCGAAGATCATCTTGATAAAGTGGAAAATGATCCTGAATATATATATATATATATATATATATATATATATATATATATATATATTCCAGGATCATTTTCCACTTTATTGAACATTGAAGTCAACACTCAGAGACGACAGGCTTTTACATGCTAGATGCAATCGTCAGGCCGCGTGTGTATTTTTTCTTGATTATTTATATCATCTGGCCGCGAGTGATATTTTTCTCGACTATTTATATATATCGGTCAGTGGTGCATTGTGGGTAATCCATTCTAGCGGTTATTTTGGCGGGAGTGGCTTGTTTATTTATTTGGGTTAATTTGTTTTACTTGGTTTTTTTTTCATTTTTTTATTTTATATATTTTTTTATTCTTTTCTTTTTTTCGATGTTTTATTAACGTAGTAAAAAAATTTGGGGGATTTGCTTAGGTCGCTTATTTAATAGTTTGTTTTGGTCTGGGAAGATAAAGCTATTTAATCGTCCAAATTTTTGGATTAATTGCCGTAGTCTATTCTGTTAATTTGGCGGGACAGTTTTTAATTTGTTTATTATTTTATATATTTATTTATTTATTTGGATTGATTATTTTTACTTGTTTTTGCTTATTTATGTTTATTTTTATTAGTTCTAACGGTTATTTTAGCGGGAGCGATTTGTTAATTTGTTTATTTATTTATTTATTTATTTATATTGATTATTTTTACTTGGTTTTGCTTATTTATTTGCTTATTTTTTTATTTTGTATATTTTTTTTACTCTATTCGGTTTTTGATTTTTGAGTAACGTAGTAAATCTTTTGTATCGTTATATAGCAGTTATAACTATTTTCTCTCCAATTTTTGGATTGATTGCTGTAGTCTATTCTAACGGTTATTTTGGTGGGATTGTTAATTTGTTTATTGTTTACTTTATTTATTTGGATTTTACTTGTATTTTATGCATTTATTTTTATTTGTTCTATTTCGTCTATTCTAACGGGAGTGGTTTGTTAATTTGTTTAGTATTTGTTTGGGTTAATTTATTTTACTTGTTTTTAAATTATTTTGTTTATTTTTAGTTATTCTTTTCAGTTTTCGATTTTTAAGCAACGTACTAAAAATTTGTTTTCATGTCTGCATTTTGAGATGATCTCAGATCGTTTATTTAGTATTTTATTTTATACGGCAACTCCGGACCGGTATGGGCTGGTATGCTGGACCTGCAATTACGGAGGACAAAAGAACCAGAGACTGTCCCACTAATTGGGAAAGAGACCCCAGGTCTCTAGGCCCGAATTGCACTAAGTGCGGAAGTTTTGACCACAATGCAAAGTGGTGCACAGATGCAGGGGGTATGAAACTAGGAATTAAGAAAATAGACATCCTAGTACACCCCCCGAGTAGAATAAGCGTTCGGAAAACGACAGTGGAACCCCCGTATAGAAATATGAGACAGGGTGGCCCCAATAAAAATAAGACCTCTGAAGTGCTGGACATGCGGAAAGGTTGGACATTTTTCAACCAACGGCGAAGCTGTTGGCAATGTGGAAAGGTTGGACATTTGAGAATTAACTGTACGGAGAAAAGGGTGGTGAAAGGGGGAGGCAAGGAGGTCGAGAGGACCAGTCCCCACTCCACCCAAGGAAAGCCCCAAAAGAAGCTGGCCTAAAGTAGCGAATGCTGAGCCCCTATTGCCAGCACCCAGGTCGAGACCTGAGAGAAATAGGGATAGCCGACCGGGAATTAAAAATAAGGAGAGTTTGAGGAACAGGAACAGAGCCCAGATATTTCAGCTGTTTAAAAAGGGACCGGACTTCACCTGTAATGTATTGGTGGGGCACAAGACGGTAAAAGCTTTAGTGGATACTGGAGCTTCGGTCTCCCTAAAAAATCCCAAGGTGTTTAGATAGCTGGAGTTACGTAGAAAACTCCAACCAGAGGATTTCTTAATGAGCCAGGCAGATAGTAATCAGATGAGAATGGAGTGTATGACATAGCTGCGATTCAAATTGGCAAGGACCACAGGTTAATTTAATAAAAAGGAATAAAAATTTTATAAAGTCATCTGCACACTATCAATTACTCAAGTCTAATATGAGAGGACATTTTCAAAGCTAAATATCATAAAAACAAGGTTAAGAAAATCACTGTCTGGGGAGAATTTAGATCATACATATTGCTAATCATTGAAAAGGAATTGTTAAATGAACTGAATGCAGAGACAATTATTGGCAATTTCGTACACATTATTGGGAACGAAACGATTGCCCTTAATATAGTGGACTGCATGAAATTGTGCTCTATTGTCCTTTTGAACTATCTGTTAATGTGTAAATTGTGTAGTAAACTATTTAAAAATATGAATAAATTACCAAAAATTAAAAAAATAAATAAATAAAAAATTAATTTAGGACATGCAGTATTTACATTTGATACCTACTGCAGTAATAT